GTGTAAACTGTTGTCCCCTTGTGCATTGTACCTTGTACATGGATTCCCGTCGCTACAATGCTCTAGTAAAGAAAAGGCCCGCAGTCGTGCCATGGTACATTGACGTCTACTATCACTTAACGGTCATCATATCAGTGCGTGCGATTGAGTGGTTTCCCCCAACTATACGGAGTGGCCTCGATTCAGACCGTTCGGAGGACCTGCGGCTTGCAATGTGCGTCAATGGTTCCCAACTTCTGCTTTTGCGAGTGTTACACAACGTTATGATTGTCAAGTACTCTCTCAAAGCTGTACAACATGGACGAGACCAACACTACGCTGGACATTGCAGGTTTGTTCTCGTTGAAGCACATTGGACTCGAGTCGACCTCGTGAACAGAATGAGCCTTTGAAGTGCTTGTTTGCTTGGCTTTGCCGCCAACAGGCGGTGGGAAGCACTCGTGACGCTGGACAAAGATAGCGCGAGTGATTCAGTTTTACGAATCTTCTTAGCTTGCCGGCAGACCGAATCGGCGACAGCGTCGGGGAATTGTCGTCGGCTTCGGCCGCAGTGTGGTCGGTTTCTTTACGTTGACAGCATTTTTCCGAGTATGTTGCATTTGCACGCAATGTTAGCCAGACAAACATGTTCATTGTGACCTCAACGTTGTGCGGAAAGTCTCCTGGGTTTGGCAGCAGCTTGTTCTCCAACACACACATGTGTCAAAAAACATGTAAAAAGGATCGCAAGTTCGATTCATTATGCCTTGACGTCCTCCAAGACTTATTCATTATACATTTTACATTGGAGATACTTCCAGTCCTTGAGCTGAATGGGTGTGGGTGTTCTCACGGCTGCGCTTTCGCTCTGCCCACTGGGGTCTGAGCCGGTGCCGTCAGAGGCAGTGCTTGGGGTGCTTGCTTGCATGCAGTTTGCTGAGTCATCGCATGTTACCAGTACATGTTTCTAGTTGCGAGGGCACGTTTCGTACGGTCCATGTTTTGATTTCATCTTTGTGTTTCAGAATGTCATCAGTCCGGCATTTCTGACATGTTCCTTTCGCAAGTCTGGTTTGGATTACCGGACCGTTCGGAACATCTGAACAGTATGGCTTTCCGTGCTCGAAGGCTTCGCAGTTGCGGAGTCGACTCGGGGACGGAGGCAGGGCTTATACTGACATGACAAAGCAGGCTTCGGGCTTTCTGCCAACGCTGCATATGGATGCCAAACGTGAGAACCCTAATTGGCTGGTATCCTTTTGGAGGTTTCCGCGAGTTCCTCCACTGCCAGCATTCCGATGTCTTCCAGGAGTTTTTCCAGCTGGTGTCTCGAAAGCGATTCGAAGAGGCCGAGCTTGATGGGAAGACTCGATCTCCATTTATGCCAGACTTTAGATGGGCAGGTTGAAACAGTAACGTGCGCGCCAAGCAACGAAGCCACCTGCAGGTGGAAGTTTTCCAATTCGCCTTGGATCTGCACAACAAGCTGCATGGCTGTGCAAAGCACAGGTTTCGATGTGAAATGGGTTTAAAGGATGTTGAGAGTAGAGAGAAAGAGAGCGAGAGAGAGAGAGAGAGAGCAATTAAAAGAGAGAGTGAAGGAACATGCATGTGAAACGAGCTGAGTCTTGGATGTCACATGCGCTTGACCGATTACGCTGAGGATGTCAGCCATGAGATGAACAGCAACACTTGTCAAGTTGTCAAGGCTTTCGAAACTCCAAACCTGAAGCGGTGAAGGTTACAAGTTGTGAATCCCGAAGCCACAGCCTCAATTAAAGTCCGAGCGCCCCAGGCTTCAAAATCGGAAACATCACAACCCCTGACCCCTGAACGCTGAAAGCGCTAAAAGCCTCAAATCTTGGACCTCATTCCTGGACCCAAACCAAACCCTGCATCCTCACGGCTACGCCCTAAACCCCAGCGTCCTCAGCTCGAGCGTCCTCCGAGGCTTGATCTGTCCCAGCCGGGTTCGGAGGACTTCCGGGAAGAGCTGCCTTGGCACACCACGATTCAGGACTGCAGCTGAGGGTTCAGGGGGGCTTAGGGTTTAGGGTTTAGGCTTCTTCCTGCAGTTTCAGAGCTTGAAAAGTTGGGGGATTCGGCCGCTGCGATCAGTATGCATTCTCCCTTTCTGGATTGCTTGACCGGCAGCTGCATACGGGAACCTGGCGCAAGCTGTCATCCCAGAAGGCGGCTAAGAGTTTTTTTGGCCGAAGGGCCCCAGCTGTGGATTGGTTTCCTTCCAGAAACCAAGTGGAGAAGCTTAGGGACTTGAGCAATCAGTCTTAGCAAAGCTGCTTTGGAGAGGCTACTGCCTGGCTCGGATCTCTAAGATGGCTTCTGGCAATGTTGCCCATATGCAGGTTTCCGAAAAATAGGGGACCCTAATATAGGACCCTTAATGTTGGCCCTAAATAGTAGGATCCTGATTATAAGGACCCCAAAATAAGGTACCCCGAATTTTCGGAAACTCCCAATATCATAACCCTAAACCCTAAACCCCAAACCCTAAACCCTAAACCCTAAACCCTAAACCCTAAACCCTAAACCCTAAACCCTAAACCCTAAACCCCAAACTCCCATATCCATGTTCCAAGTTGCTGATCAGCTCC